AAATAGCAAAACGTGTATATGAGGTCAACAGCAGGACTCCCCCTAAGGTATCCTGGCACAACATACAGCTAGCTGCAGACACTGCTTTACAGGCTGTTAATTGCCTAAAACCGAAAGTTAGTGAGAGTCATTGGATTTCTACCACCTCATCCAAATTGAATAAAGCATGGAGACTGATTCTGGAGAGCTACGATTTTAGTGAGGAGCGGAAGCTACTCAAACGCAAACTATCAAGAAGTCTTCGTAACGCCCAAGAACAGTGGTGGGCAACAAAAGTGAAAGAGATGGTTAAGGCATTGGCGATTGGTAACACCAGACAACTAATAAGACTTATCAGGAGAACAGGTGGAAAAAGGCAAACGAAAAGTGAAAGAATCTCTGAGAAGAATGGCACCATAATTAGCTCCCAGGATAGACGATTGGAACGCTGGAAAGAACACTTTGAGGAGCAGTTTAATTGGCCTACAGTCACACCAGACTTATCGAACATCCAACACCTCCCTGAATGGGATATAGACACTGGTCCACAGTCCTTGACTGGGTTGATTGAGACTGTCGCTAGTCTGAAACGAAGAAAAGCTGCGGGACCCAATGGAATGACTCCAGAGGTATCTTAGTACGGTGGAGACAGTTTGCTGTCTGCGTTAACTAAGGTATTAGGTAGCGTCTGGGAATCAGAGGAAGTCTCGTCGGGTTGGTGTAAATCATTACTTATCCCGATATACAAGAAGGGACACAAATCTTCTTGTGATAATCATAGGGCAATAGCTTATCAAATATGGTGTCTAAAGTTCCAGGCTCAATAATAATGAATAGTCCACGTAATGCTCGGGAGGCACAAATATGCGAGAGCCAGGCAGGCTTTAGACCCATTCTTCGGCAGATTCCGGAACACAGGCAATCTTACCGGCCTCCAACAGTCGTTATATTTCTTGATCTGAAAGCGTCGCTCGATTCCGTCGACCGAGCGGTACTATATCGATGTTGGGCTGCAAAGGGAATGCCGATAAAATACATTGCACTGATCAAGGCACTCCACTGGAACTCATGCAGCCAGGAGAGACTTTGCGGCGAGTTGTCCTCTGACGTCTGCGATGACAACCAGTGGTATCCGTCAGGGATGCGCACTATCTTCATTTCTATTCAGTTTCGTCACTTGACCCTAAATCACTTCAGAAACCCAGAGATTAACCTGATACCATAGAATAATCTGGAATCAGAATATGTGGGACGTTCAACGTTCGCGTTACATTTTTGCGTGATTCGTTACATAAAATTTATCTTGTTGTAATCCTTGCACAAGTACTATACTACTTCCATACCTGTAACCATTGATTCTCATATCAAATAGTTGTGGTTAATCAAAGTAAAATGCAACTAACTCAATCCCGTTACGTCGTTGATTGCTACATCAAGCAACACGCTCTCTACAAACGGTTATAGTGAGCCACAAAACTCACTTGTATGTCGTAAGCGTCGAGCTGGAACTGAGGATAAAACTGTACTGACAGCTAGTATTAGCACTACTCTGAAAAATTCAGTACCCTCTGCTCAGACAGAACCCCGCCCTACACCTTATGTGCCCATCGAAAGACTCCAGCCATCAAGCTCTGTTTCAGTACTATCTTCAAAAATAGAACTTCTAAAGTTGTCTACAGGAAAACTTAAAACCGAGTTAAGGGAAATAAAAAACAATAAGTCATTAAATCCTGGAATTTCTGAAACCAATACCAAAATATCCAAATTATCAGATCAGATCAGCGATATCAGATCGCAGGTCTGTGAACTGACACCTCTAACTATCCTCATGAAAACTGTAAACATTAACAAACTTGACACGGAGTCGGTATCTAAGGTGGATAACCTTACTAACTTTTTTACTACAGAAATAACAAAACGACTCGACGCTTAACTAAATGCTCTTGTCTACAACGTTCAGGACAATGAAGCACTGAAAGAGGTACAGCGCATCTTACTCAGTGAGGTGAAAATGTCCAACTCCAAGACTAAGTGCTCCAGGCTGAAGAAGAGTCAACATGAAAAGTATTTTCCCATTCGTCTTCAGTTCAAAACACCGGCAGAAACCAAAACTTTCATCCACTCCTGACACACCCTTTCACAAGCCAGAAACTACAAACTAATAAAGGTTGCGGTAGACAAGACAGTCATTGAAAGGCGTGCATATAATTATCTCACTAAGCTTGATTGTGGAATAAATAATAGGACATTGCAAGCAACCATTATACCCAACGCTTTGAGAGATATCGTAGAACCCACCGCACCACCCCTCACACACCACACAGAATTATCTCCTCAGAGTGCAATACCAGCCGAAAGGCCACTAAATTGTAATCAAATAACTAATACAACCATACTACCTATCACCATAGATTTAGACATGTCACTAGATAACCCCAGAAAAAATTCAAAGCCCCCGAAAGTTGACATTGTCCTCTCCCAGCCATAACTCCATTGGTAAAGAGGAAATAGTTAACAAACCTATTCAAGATATGTCACTGGCCCTGAAAAATCAAATACACTCACAAAATGCTTCTCAGAGAAATGTACACGATAAGGAAATTAAGACTCTAAATCATGCCAACAATAACAACGGTAGTATAGATAAGCCCACACTTCCCAATGCCAATAGCATTAGCACTCATGACGTGCGAAGTCGCGCCATAGGACACAACATTGCCACCCTCAATAGTAAAAGTGGCAATAGTCGGCTACCAACAACTCCGGGTCTTCAGAGTATGGCACACAAACAAGTTTTGGTCAGATACACGGTACAAGTCTACTGGGAACTAACCCACAATTCAGTACACACGAAACCCATACATGGACACAACTAGTATCAGACAATAGGAGGAATAATAAACCATGGTCATCACAGGGATACAATAATTTTTTATCCCCTGCATCCCTGTCAGCGTTGAAAAAACAGCTGGTAGGGACGTTAACTCTCCTAAACCACTAGTGCTAGCTCCCCGCTAGCATGAAAACAGGATCAGTCTAGTGGATCCACAACCATTAGGCACATTTGATACTTGCACAAATATACGTCAAGCGAAGAGCTCTAACCACGTTTCTAGCTTGACTAAAAAATGCCTTAGCCTATAGGAAATCCAGTACTCCAACGTCTAATTCTTCACCAAAAACAGCACACACCAAATCGACAGATATAGGGTCGTCATGTCAAACAGTACTACTTGTACTAACTATACTTACTCTAACTATATTTACTAAAAGTGTGTGTAATTTATCGAATTAATGATGCCTGTAAACTGGCATCATTCATGTACAAAATTGAGAATATATTATTATTATTAAACTCCTCTTAACATAGGGTCGTCATGTCAAGCAGAACTACTGGGTGCTGAACCCAATTCGGGGCTGATTAACTTACTTAAATACTTCAAACGCTATTTCAACTCTCATCTTTACCTAATCCTCATAAATGCTGGATCTGTTCTAAATAAACTACCGATGCTCAGAGCACTCACAGTAATATACAAACCCCCTATAATTGTCATCGCTCAATCTTGGTGTAATTCGAACATACTGGATGAAGAGATAAGCTTAGATAACTACACACACTTTCGGTGTGACAGGGAAGGTGGTAATGGAGTGGGTTGTCTCATGTACATTCTGAATGCACTGACTGTATCACAGCTAGAAAGTAGTACACCCAACCTACCTGAGGCTCTATGGGTTAACTTTCACTTAAATAACGCAATAGCATTAATTGGATGCACCTGCAGAGCACCTGGCACCTTTAGTCATTACGAGACCTAACTCATTAATACTCTGGGGCAATTATCCACTCTTCCATACAAGCATATGATCATATGTGGAGGTTTCAACCTACCTGAAATGAACTAGGATTTATTAACAGGACCAACTAAATATGACAAGCTCTTAGGTACACTGGAAAGTTTCGGTTGGAATCAAACTGTCACTATCCCTACAAGAGGTGACAACGTACTGGACTAAATATTCTGTCACGATATAAGTCCCCTCTCAATCTCAGTGGGTTCTAAGTTTTCAGTTGGTGACCAAAAAACAGTGATGTGTGCACCGCCACTTCCACTGAGTACCAATGTAGCATATACCTCCACTTCAAAACGAGCAATATATAGGAACTATAGTAAGACAAACTGGGCTTCGTAGAATCAATGCTAAGATCCTCTGAATGGGGCGAAAACTTAGTGACATGTTCAAGGAGAATCTGAACGCTTAAAATGACAAACTTCGACGTCTTTTCAGTGTTCACTTATGCACTTCCACGTTCAGTAGATGGTTTCAAAGAGCGGTGAAATATCTTTCTGACTTGTAGTTTTCTGTTGACGTTGACCAAATCAAATGATTAAAATTTACGCAAATTCGAAAACAAGATTGTCTTCTTATTCAAATAGGTTGCCATAAATCAAATCAACGATATTAGGCTCGTTGTCTGAGTGTGCAAAGAGATTTATGAAAAAGAGAAATGCCCTCGAAAAATACTGATAGAAATATTTGTTAATTGCAGAGGGATATCTGCTGTTTGGAATCAAAAATGCTCTGTCTAGTCAACAGTTCGCATCACAATCACCAAGCCAACACAGAGAATCCTAGTTAGAATGCACCCTGTGCTGTTTACTAGAAGTGTTCGGCATATAGAATCCTATGACGAATAGACTATTAGTATAATGTGGACACTATTCAGTGTGAAACTCGATCTGTTGAGGTGGTCTATTGGCATATACCGTTCAGTGAGAGAAAGACAGGTGCAAGAATATTTACTGATGACGTTTCGAGCACAATTTATTGCTCATAATCATATCAACTTGATATGATTATGAGCAATAAATTATGCTCGAAACGTCATCAGTAAATATTACTGTATAACACTGTGAGACTCTATCAAAATAAAATTTACCCATAATGGAATTACACTCTACCACAGTGCCCAAGTTTTATTCTTATATCAACAGGTGCAAGAAAATGAAATGGGAAGATGAAATGTGCAAAATTATTATTTATTAATTACTCGTGACATAAAAAATTTGAGATTACAGAAATTAACATTACATATTTAAAGTTAAATTAGAAATATCCTTATAAAGATTTGTGTATTGAAAATAAAGAAAGAAGTTATAAATAAGCTTGATGAAAAACACTGAGAGAACCAATTCTTGAACGTGAAGATGAACGAACGTTATATCTAAACTTCCACTGAAAAAAAAGATAAAGATAAAGGGGATGATAGTCAAATATGAAAAATAAAAAGCAAAATCTACAGGAAAAGATAAAAAAATATATTGCAAAATAAGGGAAATCAAAATAATCATGAAATCCCATACAAAACTGGGAAGAAATATAACAAAACAAACAAGGAACGCCAAAAAATTTCCAGAATATACCGAAACCCTCAAAGCAAAACCTAAACAAACTTGAACACAATTAACAAAATACGGAATGAAGAGAGACCTAAATCAACAAAATTCTTACAATCACACTTTAAATTGCATGTGAACCTATGTGTTATCCATGATGCTCACACACATTTCGATTCGCATTTTCCGCCTTACGTCACTAGTCTGCTCCACACACGAGCACCTGACTTTCACCTCACTCATATTGTCCAACTAATTATCACAGGTCAGATTTCACGAAAAGCATTCAGCATTTCCGCTCACTGATATCACTCATTTTTCTTCAGCCTACAGGAGAAAGTCAACAGGGAAAAATTTCGCCTTCTCACCTAGATTATGGCAGTCGCTATGATAAATATTTTCGACCCCTGAAAATAAGAAAAAGAAATCGTGCCCTGTTAACATATGCTATTCACAGTATTCTTTATAAAAGTTTGACATGCAGAATTCACAGCACAAAATCATGATGACGATAGATTTCAGATTGTTAGACTAACCATATTCATTCTCTTCCTCGTCGATGTTCACTAGTGGAGGAAAACAAAGAGACGTGAGAATTGGTTAGAAAATATGCAGGACGTGATGTTCAAGTGGAGACGCACACGACAATTAAGCAGTCATCACAACCATGTCTGACAGTATGCAGACTGAGTGATGCAACGCTGTTCTCTGGTCACACTGAGTGGTTGGTGCATTTGAATTCCAGTCTCCACCGTATCGACTTCCACAAATCGTCTGCATTCCAGTCTACCGAGAGTTCAGGTGTCCCGTTAACGGCGCAGCGGGTATCTCTTCCACGAAATGATTCAGACAAGCACAGTGTGAATCAGACCAGAAACTGACGAGATCTTTGTGGGACAGCTATGCACACTACGAAATTTGTAGCCACACTTGATGAGGCGATTGACACAGTGGGATGGTAACGAGGATATGAAGCCCGTGAGAAATACACAACAAAGACGCAGAGTGACTTTCATATCAGAAGTGGCCGTAAATATGGAGATGCTACTCGCGCCTCTCACTCAATGAGCGGTTGACGAAATCGACAAATGTGGAATGGTGAAGAGTGAATCTCCGCCATCTGTGACAATGTTGTTCCGATGCAAATGAGCACGTGGAAGAAGACGCGTTGACGTTGTTGTCGAGAATATGTGAAAAGCAGTGACAGGCACTCAGTCTCTGTCTACACTTTCGTGGAGATGGTGAGAGCAGGCTGTGCAAGAAGAGAACTGAAACAGGTATCTCATGTCGTGCGTTATTCCGATTGGCTCAATAGTCCTTCACACAATCCATTCGTATAGCCCCATGGAATTGAGCCTAACTGCACGAATCCGAATACACTTCGGATGGAGTATGAAATGTGACACGAAGTGACTCTACATAGTCGAAATGTAATCTGAGCAGTATCAATCAGTATTTGAAAGGTCTTACCCGTTGTTGTTTCTTCTTCAACTTCTTCTGTTGTTTTGGGTGCGGTGACTGGCAGATCTGTGAGAAGAGAAGTAGGACAGACGTCTCATCAGTTGTCACACCACTGAAGTGATAAACTTCAAATATGCACTTCGCAGATCATCAAGACAATCTGACTGGGCGTGAATTAGAGAGACAAGGGTGTCGTCTCACGTCAAGTCGAATATATTCACGTAATGTAAAAACTCACCCTGTGTTGTTGCTTCTCCAATAATATTTTTCTTCACTGAAATGAAAGAGATTGAAAGTAAACAGTATCACAAATAGCACCAGGGTCGAAATATGACTTGCAGAGTGACTGCCAGATTTGTCACAGTCTCTCACACCAATGTGGAACACACAAAACAGTCTATGTTTCTTGCTCGTGCCTCGGCAATGCGCATGAACTGTCTTCCTTTCACATGGTCTGGATAGTCACCTGAATCTACAACATTCATATACTCACATTTTAAATTGCATGTGAACCTATGTGTTATCCATGATGCTCAAACACATTTCGATTCGCATTTTCCGCCTTACGTCACTAGTCTGCTCCACACACGAGCACCTGACTTTCACCTCACTCATATTGTCCAACTAATTATCACAGGTCAGATTTCACGAAAAGCATTCAGCATTTCCGCTCACTGATATCACTCATTTTTCTTCAGGCTGTAGGTGAATGTGAACAGTGGAAAAGATTTCGTCCTTCTCACCTAGATTATAGCACTTGCTGGGATAAATATTTATGAACCCTGAAAATAAGAAAAAGAAATCGTGCCCTGTTAACATATGCTATTCACAGTATTCTTTATAAAAGTTTGACATGCAGAATTCACAGCACAAAATCATGATGACGATAGATTTCAGATTGTTAGACTAACCATATTCATTCTCTTCCTCGTCGATGTTCACTAGTGGAGGAAAACAAAGAGACGTGAGAATTGGTTAGAAAATATGCAGGACGTGATGTTCAAGTGGAGACGCACACGACAATTAAGCAGTCATCACAACCATGTCTGACAGTATGCAGACTGAGTGATGCAACGCTGTTCTCTGGTCACACTGAGTGGTTGGTGCATTTGAATTCCAGTCTCCACCGTATCGACTTCCACAAATCGTCTGCATTCCAGTCTACCGAGAGTTCAGGTGTCCCGTTAACGGCGCAGCGGGTATCTCTTCCACGAAATGATTCAGACAAGCACAGTGTGAATCAGACCAGAAACTGACGAGATCTTTGTGGGACAGCTATGCACACTACGAAATTTGTAGCCACACTTGATGAGGCGATTGACACAGTGGGATGGTAACGAGGATATGAAGCCCGTGAGAAATACACAACAAAGACGCAGAGTGACTTTCATATCAGAAGTGGCCGTAAATATGGAGATGCTACTCGCGCCTCTCACTCAATGAGCGGTTGACGAAATCGACAAATGTGGAATGGTGAAGAGTGAATCTCCGCCATCTGTGACAATGTTGTTCCGATGCAAATGAGCACGTGGAAGAAGACGCGTTGACGTTGTTGTCGAGAATATGTGAAAAGCAGTGACAGGCACTCAGTCTCTGTCTACACTTTCGTGGAGATGGTGAGAGCAGGCTGTGCAAGAAGAGAACTGAAACAGGTATCTCATGTCGTGCGTTATTCCGATTGGCTCAATAGTCCTTCACACAATCCATTCGTATAGCCCCATGGAATTGAGCCTAACTGCACGAATCCGAATACACTTCGGATGGAGTATGAAATGTGACACGAAGTGACTCTACATAGTCGAAATGTAATCTGAGCAGTATCAATCAGTATTTGAAAGGTCTTACCCGTTGTTGTTTCTTCTTCAACTTCTTCTGTTGTTTTGGGTGCGGTGACTGGCAGATCTGTGAGAAGAGAAGTAGGACAGACGTCTCATCAGTTGTCACACCACTGAAGTGATAAACTTCAAATATGCACTTCGCAGATCATCAAGACAATCTGACTGGGCGTGAATTAGAGAGACAAGGGTGTCGTCTCACGTCAAGTCGAATATATTCACGTAATGTAAAAACTCACCCTGTGTTGTTGCTTCTCCAATAATATTTTTCATCACTGAAACTAAAGAGATTGAAAGTAAACAGTATCACAAATAGCACCAGGGTCGAAATATGACTTGCAGAGTGACTGCCAGATTTGTCACAGTCTCTCACACCAATGTGGAACACACAAAACAGTCTATGTTTCTTGCTCGTGCCTCGGCAATACGCATGAACTGTCTTCCTTTCACATGGTCTGGATAGTCACCTGAATCCACAACATTCATATACTCACATTTTAAATTGCATGTGAACCTATGTGTTATCCATGATGCTCAAACACATTTCGATTCGCATTTTCCGCCTTACGTCACTAGTCTGCTCCACACACGAGCACCTGACTTTCACCTCACTCATATTGTCCAACTAATTATCACAGGTCAGATTTCACGAAAAGCATTCAGCATTTCCGCTCACTGATATCACTCATTTTTCTTCAGGCTGTAGGTGAATGTGAACAGTGGAAAAGATTTCGTCCTTCTCACCTAGATTATAGCACTTGCTGGGATACATATTTTTGACCCCTGAAAATAAGAAAAAGAAATCGTGCCCTGTTAACATATGCTATTCACAGTATTCTTTATAAAAGTTTGACATGCAGAATTCACAGCACAAAATCATGATGACGATAGATTTCAGATTGTTAGACTAACCATATTCATTCTCTTCCTCGTCGATGTTCACTAGTGGAGGAAAACAAAGAGACGTGAGAATTGGTTAGAAAATATGCAGGACGTGATGTTCAAGTGGAGACGCACACGACAATTAAGCAGTCATCACAACCATGTCTGACAGTATGCAGACTGAGTGATGCAACGCTGTTCTCTGGTCACACTGAGTGGTTGGTGCATTTGAATTCCAGTCTCCACCGTATCGACTTCCACAAATCGTCTGCATTCCAGTCTACCGAGAGTTCAGGTGTCCCGTTAACGGCGCAGCGGGTATCTCTTCCACGAAATGATTCAGACAAGCACAGTGTGAATCAGACCAGAAACTGACGAGATCTTTGTGGGACAGCTATGCACACTACGAAATTTGTAGCCACACTTGATGAGGCGATTGACACAGTGGGATGGTAACGAGGATATGAAGCCCGTGAGAAATACACAACAAAGACGCAGAGTGACTTTCATATCAGAAGTGGCCGTAAATATGGAGATGCTACTCGCGCCTCTCACTCAATGAGCGGTTGACGAAATCGACAAATGTGGAATGGTGAAGAGTGAATCTCCGCCATCTGTGACAATGTTGTTCCGATGCAAATGAGCACGTGGAAGAAGACGCGTTGACGTTGTTGTCGAGAATATGTGAAAAGCAGTGACAGGCACTCAGTCTCTGTCTACACTTTCGTGGAGATGGTGAGAGCAGGCTGTGCAAGAAGAGAACTGAAACAGGTATCTCATGTCGTGCGTTATTCCGATTGGCTCAATAGTCCTTCACACAATCCATTCGTATAGCCCCATGGAATTGAGCCTAACTGCACGAATCCGAATACACTTCGGATGGAGTATGAAATGTGACACGAAGTGACTCTACATAGTCGAAATGTAATCTGAGCAGTATCAATCAGTATTTGAAAGGTCTTACCCGTTGTTGTTTCTTCTTCAACTTCTTCTGTTGTTTTGGGTGCGGTGACTGGCAGATCTGTGAGAAGAGAAGTAGGACAGACGTCTCATCAGTTGTCACACCACTGAAGTGATAAACTTCAAATATGCACTTCGCAGATCATCAAGACAATCTGACTGGGCGTGAATTAGAGAGACAAGGGTGTCGTCTCACGTCAAGTCGAATATATTCACGTGCTCAATGGGTGGGTGACGAAATCGACAAATGTGGAATGGTGAAGAGTGAATCTCCGCCATCTGTGACAATGTTGTTCCGATGCAAATGAGCACGTGGAAGAAGACGCGTTGACGTTGTTGTCGAGAATATGTGAAAAGCAGTGACAGGCACTCAGTCTCTGTCTACACTTTCGTGGAGATGGTGAGAGCAGGCTGTGCAAGAAGAGAACTGAAACAGGTATCTCATGTCGTGCGTTATTCCGATTGGCTCAATAGTCCTTCACACAATCCATTCGTATAGCCCCATGGAATTGAGCCTAACTGCACGAATCCGAATACACTTCGGATGGAGTATGAAATGTGACACGAAGTGACTCTACATAGTCGAAATGTAATCTGAGCAGTATCAATCAGTATTTGAAAGGTCTTACCCGTTGTTGTTTCTTCTTCAACTTCTTCTGTTGTTTTGGGTGCGGTGACTGGCAGATCTGTGAGAAGAGAAGTAGGACAGACGTCTCATCAGTTGTCACACCACTGAAGTGATAAACTTCAAATATGCACTTCGCAGATCATCAAGACAATCTGACTGGGCGTGAATTAGAGAGACAAGGGTGTCGTCTCACGTCAAGTCGAATATATTCACGTAATGTAAAAACTCACCCTGTGTTGTTGCTTCTCCAATAATATTTTTCATCACTGAAACTAAAGAGATTGAAAGTAAACAGTATCACAAATAGCACCAGGGTCGAAATATGACTTGCAGAGTGACTGCCAGATTTGTCACAGTCTCTCACACCAATGTGGAACACACAAAACAGTCTATGTTTCTTGCTCGTGCCTCGGCAATACGCATGAACTGTCTTCCTTTCACATGGTCTGGATAGTCACCTGAATCCACAACATTCATATACTCACATTTTAAATTGCATGTGAACCTATGTGTTATCCATGATGCTCACACACATTTCGATTCGCATTTTCCGCCTTACGTCACTAGTCTGCTCCACACACGAGCACCTGACTTTCACCTCACTCATATTGTCCAACTAATTATCACAGGTCAGATTTCACGAAAAGCATTCAGCATTTCCGCTCACTGATATCACTCATTTTTCTTCAGGCTGTAGGTGAATGTGAACAGTGGAAAAGATTTCGTCCTTCTCACCTAGATTATAGCACTTGCTGGGATACATATTTTTGACCCCTGAAAATAAGAAAAAGCAATCGTCACCTGTTAACATACGCTATTCACAGTATTCTTTATAAAAGTTTGACATGCAGAATTCACAGCACAAAATCATGATGACGATAGATTTCAGATTGTTAGACTAACCATATTCATTCTCTTCCTCGTCGATGTTCACTAGTGGAGGAAAACAAAGAGACGTGAGAATTGGTTAGAAAATATGCAGGACGTGATGTTCAAGTGGAGACGCACACGACAATTAAGCAGTCATCACAACCATGTCTGACAGTATGCAGACTGAGTGATGCAACGCTGTTCTCTGGTCACACTGAGTGGTTGGTGCATTTGAATTCCAGTCTCCACCGTATCGACTTCCACAAATCGTCTGCATTCCAGTCTACCGAGAGTTCAGGTGTCCCGTTAACGGCGCAGCGGGTATCTCTTCCACGAAATGATTCAGACAAGCACAGTGTGAATCAGACCAGAAACTGACGAGATCTTTGTGGGACAGCTATGCACACTACGAAATTTGTAGCCACACTTGATGAGGCGATTGACACAGTGGGATGGTAACGAGGATATGAAGCCCGTGAGAAATACACAACAAAGACGCAGAGTGACTTTCATATCAGAAGTGGCCGTAAATATGGAGATGCTACTCGCGCCTCTCACTCAATGAGCGGTTGACGAAATCGACAAATGTGGAATGGTGAAGAGTGAATCTCCGCCATCTGTGACAATGTTGTTCCGATGCAAATGAGCACGTGGAAGAAGACGCGTTGACGTTGTTGTCGAGAATATGTGAAAAGCAGTGACAGGCACTCAGTCTCTGTCTACACTTTCGTGGAGATGGTGAGAGCAGGCTGTGCAAGAAGAGAACTGAAACAGGTATCTCATGTCGTGCGTTATTCCGATTGGCTCAATAGTCCTTCACACAATCCATTCGTATAGCCCCATGGAATTGAGCCTAACTGCACGAATCCGAATACACTTCGGATGGAGTATGAAATGTGACACGAAGTGACTCTACATAGTCGAAATGTAATCTGAGCAGTATCAATCAGTATTTGAAAGGTCTTACCCGTTGTTGTTTCTTCTTCAACTTCTTCTGTTGTTTTGGGTGCGGTGACTGGCAGATCTGTCAGAAGAGAAGTAGGACAGACGTCTCATCAGTTGTCACACCACTGAAGTGATAAACTTCAAATATGCACTTCGCAGATCATCAAGACAATCTGACTGGGCGTGAATTAGAGAGACAAGGGTGTCGTCTCACGTCAAGTCGAATATATTCACGTGCTCAATGGGTGGGTGACGAAATCGACAAATGTGGAATGGTGAAGAGTGAATCTCCGCCATCTGTGACAATGTTGTTCCGATGCAAATGAGCACGTGGAAGAAGACGCGTTGACGTTGTTGTCGAGAATATGTGAAAAGCAGTGACAGGCACTCAGTCTCTGTCTACACTTTCGTGGAGATGGTGAGAGCAGGCTGTGCAAGAAGAGAACTGAAACAGGTATCTCATGTCGTGCGTTATTCCGATTGGCTCAATAGTCCTTCACACAATCCATTCGTATAGCCCCATGGAATTGAGCCTAACTGCACGAATCCGAATACACTTCGGATGGAGTATGAAATGTGACACGAAGTGACTCTACATAGTCGAAATGTAATCTGAGCAGTATCAATCAGTATTTGAAAGGTCTTACCCGTTGTTGTTTCTTCTTCAACTTCTTCTGTTGTTTTGGGTGCGGTGACTGGCAGATCTGTCAGAAGAGAAGTAGGACAGACGTCTCATCAGTTGTCACACCACTGAAGTGATAAACTTCAAATATGCACTTCGCAGATCATCAAGACAATCTGACTGGGCGTGAATTAGAGAGACAAGGGTGTCGTCTCACGTCAAGTCGAATATATTCACGTGCTCAATGGGTGGGTGACGAAATCGACAAATGTGGAATGGTGAAGAGTGAATCTCCGCCATCTGTGACAATGTTGTTCCGATGCAAATGAGCACGTGGAAGAAGACGCGTTGACGTTGTTGTCGAGAATATGTGAAAAGCAGTGACAGGCACTCAGTCTCTGTCTACACTTTCGTGGAGATGGTGAGAGCAGGCTGTGCAAGAAGAGAACTGAAACAGGTATCTCATGTCGTGCGTTATTCCGATTGGCTCAATAGTCCTTCACACAATCCATTCGTATAGCCCCATGGAATTGAGCCTAACTGCACGAATCCGAATACACTTCGGATGGAGTATGAAATGTGACACGAAGTGACTCTACATAGTCGAAATGTAATCTGAGCAGTATCAATCAGTATTTGAAAGGTCTTACCCGTTGTTGTTTCTTCTTCAACTTCTTCTGTTGTTTTGGGTGCGGTGACTGGCAGATCTGTGAGAAGAGAAGTAGGACAGACGTCTCATCAGTTGTCACACCACTGAAGTGATAAACTTCAAATATGCACTTCGCAGATCATCAAGACAATCTGACTGGGCGTGAATTAGAGAGACAAGGGTGTCGTCTCACGTCAAGTCGAATATATTCACGTAATGTAAAAACTCACCCTGTGTTGTTGCTTCTCCAATAATATTTTTCATCACTGAAACTAAAGAGATTGAAAGTAAACAGTATCACAAATAGCACCAGGGTCGAAATATGACTTGCAGAGTGACTGCCAGATTTGTCACAGTCTCTCACACCAATGTGGAACACACAAAACCGTCTATGTTTCTTGCTCGTGCCTCGGCAATACGCATGAACTGTCTTCCTTTCACATGGTCTGGATAGTCACCTGAATCCACAACATTCATATACTCACATTTTAAATTGCATGTGAACCTATGTGTTATCCATGATGCTCAAACACATTTCGATTCGCATTTTCCGCCTTACGTCACTAGTCTGCTCCACACACGAGCACCTGACTTTCACCTCACACATATTGTCCAACTAATTATCACAGGTCAGATTTCACGAAAAGCATTCAGCATTTCCGCTCACTGATATCACTCATTTTTCTTCAGGCTGTAGGTGAATGTGAACAGTGGAAAAGATTTCGTCCTTCTCACCTAGATTATAGCACTTGCTGGGATACATATTTTTGACCCCTGAAAATAAGAAAAAGAAATCGTCACCTGTTAACATATGCTATTCACAGTATTCTTTATAAAAGTTTGACATGCAGAATTCACAGCACAAAATCATGATGACGATAGATTTCAGATTGTTAGACTAACCATATTCATTCTCTTCCTCGTCGATGTTCACTAGTGGAGGAAAACAAAGAGACGTGAGAATTGGTTAGAAAATATGCAGGACGTGATGTTCAAGTGGAGACGCACACGACAATTAAGCAGTCATCACAACCATGTCTGACAGTATGCAGACTGAGTGATGCAACGCTGTTCTCTGGTCACACTGAGTGGTTGGTGCATTTGAATTCCAGTCTCCACCGTATCGACTTCCACAAATCGTCTGCATTCCAGTCTACCGAGAGTTCAGGTGTCCCGTTAACGGCGCAGCGGGTATCTCTTCCACGAAATGATTCAGACAAGCACAGTGTGAATCAGACCAGAAACTGACGAGATCTTTGTGGGACAGCTATGCACACTACGAAATTTGTAGCCACACTTGATGAGGCGATTGACACAGTGGGATGGTAACGAGGATATGAAGCCCGTGAGAAATACACAACAAAGACGCAGAGTGACTTTCATATCAGAAGTGGCCGTAAATATGGAGATGCTACTCGCGCCTCTCACTCAATGAGCGGTTGACGAAATCGACAAATGTGGAATGGTGAAGAGTGAATCTCCGCCATCTGTGACAATGTTGTTCCGATGCAAATGAGCACGTGGAAGAAGACGCGTTGACGTTGTTGTCGAGAATATGTGAAAAGCAGTGACAGGCACTCAGTCTCTGTCTACACTTTCGTGGAGATGGTGAGAGCAGGCTGTGCAAGAAGAGAACTGAAACAGGTATCTCATGTCGTGCGTTATTCCGATTGGCTCAATAGTCCTTCACACAATCCATTCGTATAGCCCCATGGAATTGAGCCTAACTGCACGAATCCGAATACACTTCGGATGGAGTATGAAATGTGACACGAAGTGACTCTACATAGTCGAAATGTAATCTGAGCAGTATCAATCAGTATTTGAAAGGTCTTACCCGTTGTTGTTTCTTCTTCAACTTCTTCTGTTGTTTTGGGTGCGGTGACTGGCAGATCTGTCAGAAGAGAAGTAGGACAGACGTCTCATCAGTTGTCACACCACTGAAGTGATAAACTTCAAATATGCACTTCGCAGATCATCAAGACAATCTGACTGGGCGTGAATTAGAGAGACAAGGGTGTCGTCTCACGTCAAGTCGAATATATTCACGTGCTCAATGGGTGGGTGACGAAATCGACAAATGTGGAATGGTGAAGAGTGAATCTCCGCCATCTGTGACAATGTTGTTCCGATGCAAATGAGCACGTGGAAGAAGACGCGTTGACGTTGTTGTCGAGAATATGTGAAAAGCAGTGACAGGCACTCAGTCTCTGTCTACACTTTCGTGGAGATGGTGAGAGCAGGCTGTGCAAGAAGAGAACTGAAACAGGTATCTCATGTCGTGCGTTATTCCGATTGGCTCAATAGTCCTTCACACAATCCATTCGTATAGCCCCATGGAATTGAGCCTAACTGCACGAATCCGAATACACTTCGGATGGAGTATGAAATGTGACACGAAGTGACTCTACATAGTCGAAATGTAATCTGAGCAGTATCAATCAGTATTTGAAAGGTCTTACCCGTTGTTGTTTCTTCTTCAACTTCTTCTGTTGTTTTGGGTGCGGTGACTGGCAGATCTGTCAGAAGAGAAGTAGGACAGACGTCTCATCAGTTGTCACACCACTGAAGTGATAAACTTCAAATATGCACTTCGCAGATCATCAAGACAATCTGACTGGGCGTGAATTAGAGAGACAAGGGTGTCGTCTCACGTCAAGTCGAATATATTCACGTGCTCAATGGGTGGGTGACGAAATCGACAAATGTGGAATGGTGAAGAGTGAATCTCCGCCATCTGTGACAATGTTGTTCCGATGCAAATGAGCACGTGGAAGAAGACGCGTTGACGTTGTTGTCGAGAATATGTGAAAAGCAGTGACAGGCACTCAGTCTCTGTCTACACTTTCGTGGAGATGGTGAGAGCAGGCTGTGCAAGAAGAGAACTGAAACAGGTATCTCATGTCGTGCGTTATTCCGATTGGCTCAATAGTCCTTCACACAATCCATTCGTATAGCCCCATGGAATTGAGCCTAACTGCACGAATCCGAATACACTTCGGATGGAGTATGAAATGTGACACGAAGTGACTCTACATAGTCGAAATGTAATCTGAGCAGTATCAATCAGTATTTGAAAGGTCTTACCCGTTGTTGTTTCTTCTTCAACTTCTTCTGTTGTTTTGGGTGCGGTGACTGGCAGATCTGTCAGAAGAGAAGTAGGACAGACGTCTCATCAGTTGTCACACCACTGAAGTGATAAACTTCAAATATGCACTTCGCAGATCATCAAGACAATCTGACTGGGCGTGAATTAGAGAGACAAGGGTGTCGTCTCACGTCAAGTCGAATATATTCACGTGCTCAATGGGTGGGTGACGAAATCGACAAATGTGGAATGGTGAAGAGTGAATCTCCGCCATCTGTGACAATGTTGTTCCGATGCAAATGAGCACGTGGAAGAAGACGCGTTGACGTTGTTGTCGAGAATATGTGAAAAGCAGTGACAGGCACTCAGTCTCTGTCTACACTTTCGTGGAGATGGTGAGAGCAGGCTGTGCAAGAAGAGAACTGAAACAGGTATCTCATGTCGTGCGTTATTCCGATTGGCTCAATAGTCCTTCACACAATCCATTCGTATAGCCCCATGGAATTGAGCCTAACTGCACGAATCCGAATACACTTCGGATGGAGTATGAAATGTGACACGAAGTGACTCTACATAGTCGAAATGTAATCTGAGCAGTATCAATCAGTATTTGAAAGGTCTTACCCGTTGTTGTTTCTTCTTCAACTTCTTCTGTTGTTTTGGGTGCGGTGACTGGCAGATCTGTGAGAAGAGAAGTAGGACAGACGTCTCATCAGTTGTCACACCACTGAAGTGATAAACTTCAAATATGCACTTCGCAGATCATCAAGACAATCTGACTGGGCGTGAATTAGAGAGACAAGGGTGTCGTCTCACGTCAAGTCGAATATATTCACGTGCTCAATGGGTGGGTGACGAAATCGACAAATGTGGAATGGTGAAGAGTGAATCTCCGCCATCTGTGACAATGTTGTTCCGATGCAAATGAGCACGTGGAAGAAGACGCGTTGACGTTGTTGTCGAGAATATGTGAAAAGCAGTGACAGGCACTCAGTCTCTGTCTACACTTTCGTGGAGATGGTGAGAGCAGGCTGTGCAAGAAGAGAACTGAAACAGGTATCTCATGTCGTGCGTTATTCCGATTGGCTCAATAGTCCTTCACACAATCCATTCGTATAGCCCCATGGAATTGAGCCTAACTGCACGAATCCGAATACACTTCGGATGGAGTATGAAATGTGACACGAAGTGACTCTACATAGTCGAAATGTAATCTGAGCAGTATCAATCAGTATTTGAAAGGTCTTACCCGTTGTTGTTTCTTCTTCAACTTCTTCTGTTGTTTTGGGTGCGGTGACTGGCAGATCTGTCAGAAGAGAAGTAGGACAGACGTCTCATCAGTTGTCACACCACTGAAGTGATAAACTTCAAATATGCACTTCGCAGATCATCAAGACAATCTGACTGGGCGTGAATTAGAGAGACAAGGGTGTCGTCTCACGTCAAGTCGAATATATTCACGTAATGTAAAAACTCACCCTGTGTTGTTGCTTCTCCAATAATATTTTTCATCACTGAAATGAAAGAGATTGAAAGTAAACAGTATCACAAATAGCACCAGGGTCGAAATATGACTTGCAGAGTGACTGCCAGATTTGTCACAGTCTCTCACACCAATGTGGAACACACAAAACCGTCTATGTTTCTTGCTCGTGCCTCGGCAATACGCATGAACTGTCTTCCTTTCACATGGTCTGGATAGTCACCTGAATCCACAACATTCATATACTCACATTTTAAATTGCATGTGAACCTATGTGTTATCCATGATGCTCACACACATTTCGATTCGCATTTTCCGCCTTACGTCACTAGTCTGCTCCACACACGAGCACCTGACTTTCACCTCACTCATATTGTCCAACTAATTATCACAGGTCAGATTTCACGAAAAGCATTCAGCATTTCCGCTCACTGATATCACTCATTTTTCTTCAGGCTGTAGGTGAATGTGAACAGTGGAAAAGATTTCGTCCTTCTCACCTAGATTATAGCACTTGCTGGGATAAATATATTTGGCCGCTGAAAAAAAGAAAAAGAAATCGTGCCCTGTTAACATATGCTATTCACAGTATTCTTTATAAAAGTTTGACATGCAGAATTCACAGCACAAAATCATGATGACGATAGATTTCAGATTGTTAGACTAACCATATTCATTCTCTTCCTCGTCGATGTTCACTAGTGGAGGAAAACAAAGAGACGTGAGAATTGGTTAGAAAATATGCAGGACGTGATGTTCAAGTGGAGACGCACACGACAATTAAGCAGTCATCACAACCATGTCTGACAGTATGCAGACTGAGTGATGCAACGCTGTTCTCTGGTCACACTGAGTGGTTGGTGCATTTGAATTCCAGTCTCCACCGTATCGACTTCCACAAATCGTCTGCATTCCAGTCTACCGAGAGTTCAGGTGTCCCGTTAACGGCGCAGCGGGTATCTCTTCCACGAAATGATTCAGACAAGCACAGTGTGAATCAGACCAGAAACTGACGAGATCTTTGTGGGACAGCTATGCACACTACGAAATTTGTAGCCACACTTGATGAGGCGATTGACACAGTGGGATGGTAACGAGGATATGAAGC